GGATTTTTTTTGTTTCCACGTTTAGGATTATACCGTGTACGGACTATCAATGACAGCTTGACAGCGCCTTCTCATATTCCCTTTTAGATTTCTGGTTGTTCTAACGGGTATGACTACCCATTCTTGGACATTCATGGCTCCAAGCTCCTGGATGGTTCTAACATGCAGCTCCTTCCACATGTGTTCTATTGATTTTAAGTCAGCTAAGCGAGCTGGCCAGTCCATGAGCTCAATAGACTCCCATTCTCGGTAGTCCTGGACCACCCTGGCCCTATGAGGGCGAGCATTATCGTCCATTACAATAAACTGATCGCCGACTGCCCCAGCATACAACCTAACCTGGTTGTCTTTGATGTCGTCTATGTTTCACTAACCTGTCAGGGTGCCTCTATTTAGCACAACCAGGTTGGTTTGTCCATCCCAGGTGATGCATCCCCACACCATAACTGACCACCTCCGTAGCGATTATGCTCAGCAATATTTGAGCCTGAAAACGTTCACCTCGTCTTCTCCAGACTCTTGCAAGCCTGTGAAGTCTAGACAGAACTTAGACCCATCAGTGAACAGAACCTGTCTCAAGTGTTGCATGGTCAACCATGTATGATCCATGGTCCACTCTTAACGGGCCTAGCGATGTCGTCGCGTCAAGGGGATACGAATGCAAGGTCCATTTCAAAGAGACGTTGCTATCGAAAACCTTGTACGACCAAAAACCGATGCTGAGCTGGTGATTTGACCCTTTGTCAACCTCCAGCATGCCTCCTAGCGGGTGTACCATGTATACGGTATCTCTCCGATGCTCTGGTGATGACTGTGATGTACAAAAGACATGTAATTGTACACCCCATCAAAACATGAAAATATTGGAATGCATGCTTTCCATGCTACCTAGACGAGTTGTAACGGATTAGCCAACACGGATTCATATTAGTGGACTATCTCGAAACATTGCTGAATCAAATTTTAAAAAATTGGAAAAGAAATCTGATTTATATTTGTGACAATATAAAAATTAACTTATGGTGCTTCGCAAAAGTCGAGTATTATAGTAAACACTAAAAAAAATCTTTGATTCAGCGAATAAATACATTCTCATTCTGTTCCTATTCTATGTTCTATATTGTGGTGGCATAGCATTTTCTTACAAATACAATCTTGTTTTACAATACAACTGCGCTGCAGAAGTAATCTTTTTTGTTAACACTTTTAACATGTGTATGTCAAAAGAAAGCAATACATATACAATTATTGTATACAACCATACAGTCACTGTGTACGTAAGTGTCATGTTTGCTATGATGTTTCAAATGTAAGTCTAGTTAGCAAAATGTTATCATTTACTTTTTTTCAGTTCATTGATATTGTTAATAAAATCAAGCCTTATTTTCAATACAATGTTTATGTGATCGTTGATATCACTGTTTAATATTGTGATGTATAAAACATTTAACAGGACCCTTGATTGAAAATAAACGTAATTCTGTTATATTCTATCTTTATTGAACAAAAGCTGTAGAAACGCCGATTCCAATATAATATAGTTACGTCACGTGACGCAACATGATCATATAACCATTTAAGAAAATGCAGCCAGAACTTGTATTATTTTAATCAATTTCAACAATTCTAACTTAATCATTTATTCTTTAACCAGTGTACGTAGTTCCATAATCTGAGCACGATAAACAGAAGTTTCTTTATATTTATTTTAAGTACGGAACAGTCCATCTTAATACTTGATAGGTAAATGAAATATTGCACGTAATATTGCACGTCTTAATGATTGTATGTTATAAGTGTAAAAGTAAGTAATAAATGTCACAATAGCTCAATCGGTAGAGCACTTAGTTAAGAAGGAACCTACTCATAACAGGCTTCAAAAATTTATTATCATTATTCAATGTAATAATTTGGTCAATAACTTGCAGTTTAACTATGTTTACCTGAGTTAATATTTTAAATGGACTATGCTTGTATTTTTAGAACAGACGAAAGTTCTGTTTATCGTGCTCGGACTATAACAATTAAATTTATTTACATTGATATTTTTGAATAGTTAAAATAAACATATTTTACGTTTTGGGCAGGATGTACACTTTGGTACTGCACATGTTGTTAAGCGTTCATCCGGGTCCATCGTATAACACCAGGGTTCGTTGCCATCATAATCAGGATTACGACAATAGTTTTCGGCAGCAGTTAAATTTGCATCCGGGAAATCACGTAAAAGGCTCATAGAATGGTTATGTGGACTTTGCTCGTCCCACCTTTGACATTTTTTACCGTTCAATGTAGTGTTTTTGGTACCTTTGTACAAATATGATGACTCCGGGCAATAACATCCGATATTTACTAAAACAGATAATTGTTATATTATGATTTTTAAATGTTATTTCTGGGACGTGATAAAAAAGTGCAAGCAATTAACGGCCGGCTAGATAAGCGTTCTTATGTTTGCGATCAGTATGCAAGATTGTGAACATATATAACCAGAGGGTTATATAGTATAAAGACGTTTATACCCAGCCAACTATCATGCATAGTATACTAAATTACGATTATCTAATTTAAATCGACGCTACAAATATGTGTTATAATTAAGTTGTATATTAAAAGCAAAAAAGATTTTTGACTGAATATATGGCCGCCAGACGAGGGTTATATATTGCAAACAACCGTTTATATGCGGCCATATAAAATGCCAAACATAACATATTTATATCAAAATCAACAATATAACAAGCATCTTTGTTCAAGAAAAAAAGTTGAGATTTCTTAATAAATTGACAGCCGCCGTGTATATAAAATTATATAAAAGTCACGATTATTCAATGTAAAGCGACGTTACAAACATGCAGTTTTATAAAATTCAATAGAACTGCTTTTTACACGTGAAAGCCATAGTATATATTCAAATAAAGGGACGCATGACGTAAAAAATATTTCTATAAATACCAGTAGAGTTATTAAACAGTGAAATTTTGCAGAGAAAATAAAGCTTAAGACAAATTACGAATTGGGGAACACGTAGCATCGGTGTTCGTCCAAACACCATTGTTGCACGTCCTCGTGCTGTGAACGGAAGTGATTTCATAGTCTTCTATACATGTATACACTGCAATAGATCCATATGTGCTTGTTGGTGCTGTCACATACCCGTTTGGTATATTGTCCAATTTACCACAATCTTAAAAATAAAAAAAATGAGGATAGTTGTTTCGTAAACGTTTTTACCATTTTACACACACACATATATAAATACATTGTACTAACATGAATGCCGTAACCTGTCCAAATGTTTATTGTTAATATTTTCACATAACATACATACAACTTACAGTACTTCAAAAATCACATAAGTCTATAATTGTATAAAAGTATGTTTTAATTTATACAACTTTTAAATTCCAAAATGTAAGAAGAATCTACATATAATATTGCAGTTTACTGCATAAAATGCTCCAGACAGAGAACTGATCAATTAAACAAATTATGAATCATTTTTGTTATTATCATAATGCCATAATATTCAGATGAATAATATGACCTAAGCTGTATCATGAACCACAAAGTTGCTTTTACATGTTTCCTTATTTTAAGTTGATAATACAATAATTTTAAGTGTGTTTATTTGGTTATTCACCCTCGCCACCGAAATGAACCGTATAGGCGAGCATTATAACTTTAATTGTTTTGAAACCTTTATTTATAATGCGTCAGTCTTGAATGATATCTTTTAAAATGTCCACTATTGCATTACTCTGTGATGTATTGATATCGCATTGCAAAAGCTTTAAACAATCACGTAATTTAATTCTATTTTTTTTGAGAACAAGAAGCAACAAAAAAGGAACTTCCATGATTATGTGTAACGTTCATATGATATGAAGAAAATAAATCAGATAATAGATAAAAACCAATATTACTGAAATTTACTGTCAGTTGAGAACAATAATAGAACAGTAAAGTAAATGTACAGAGTAAATAATTTACTGGACAAGCCAGCGATCTAATCTGTAAAAAGCGTTAAGCCTGATTTGTTACTTTTCAGTTCATTTGTTTTACATGAATAAATAATAAATTCCATTTTGAATTAGACTTTTGTTCATGCTTTGATTGTTCCCTACTGAAGCTAAATGTATTTGAAATTCATAATTATTATGTTATAGATCATCCGAGTAATGATTTTAATTAAAACATATCTTAATTAGTTCAATGATCAACATTTTTTTGTCCAATCACATTGTACTATATTTCAAATTTCTGCTTAGTCTAACTTTGGTTAATGTGTACTTACTAAATAAAATTTACTTAATCAGTCATCTAACCAGTCTAATAATGCTTTATATTAGGGAGGGTTTGCACTTTGAATTGTAAAATATTTAGTTAGGCGGAATTTCAACTCAACACTTTGGCTTCAAAACAATGCCAACGTAAAAAAATAGGCAAGGTCAGGTGTTTCTAAATGTGAGGATACAATCAAATGTCTGTTATAAATTGCTGACTGTTTTAAACTTTATTTTTAAAGTAACCAAAACATTATTTTCTTTCAGTTGATAGGAATGAACTGCATTAACAATCCTTGATATTAAGAATACAATGATTACATTTTTTGACTGGAAAACTCATTGTAAATGGACTCTCTCCACCTGTTCACAGAAAAATAAAAAGAGTGAACTATTTTTCAAATAAGCAAATCAATAGGGATTTTAAATGTGAGTAAATAACTTGGAGCTTATAACGAATTTGGATCAATTAATAATTTCTAATGACTGTATTTTTCTCACATTTTCCATTTATCTTAGAAGGATGTAGACATTTCATTAACTCCATTGTTTTTACCTAATTCCATCATTTTCCTCGCTGTTTTTTCACATATTTTATAGAAACACGATAGTCTTACTGTAGATAAAGGTATATATTCTGTGGCATTTCAGTTAAAAATGTGCCTGATTTGTATGTTGAAAGGGCCATTTATTTAGCTTATCTAAATGTCACGGGGGAGGAAGTGTTACACGAAGGATGGAGTTCTTATGATAACTTGTTTGGAGTTCTTATGATAACTGTCTCGGAGTTCCTGGAAAACGTTACGGATTTCTATGGAAAACCTTTCAATAGACTTGGAGGAAACACATGAAAAATGGTAAGTTTTGCCTTTAAATGGGGAGTTTGAGGTGCTAAATTAAACCTTGATAATTAAGCTAGCCCTACATATTGTATTATGTTTCAGAAAAACCTTTTAGACCATTTTTCATCGCCTTTTTTAAAATAATCTGGTAGTTTTGAGTAAAATTTCCAAATAACTTGCTCATTTGTACATATTAACATTTTCATTTGTGACCTTCTTTATTGTTTTACCTAATTACCTAAATATAATGGAGATTTGCAAACATATAGCCCAGGTTAATGAATTTATACCCGATTTTTCAAATGTCACGGAGTTCTTGTGATAACTCAAAATATGTTCCAGAGTTCTTATGATAACTTTTGTTACTGCCAGTGTGTTTCTTGACTTAATTACGGCACGTTTAAGCGTATTTTATTTGTCAATAAGTGTGTAAATCATTAAGGAGCATAGTACGCTTATCATTTGCACAAATATTTGGTTATATAACGTTGGTTTAGAGTGTATTTCATTTCAAGAGATATTTTTCTCACCTCCGTTTCTTGTGTTTGTTTGGGTTTTTATGTGTTTCTTTGTTTTTTGTTGCTGTCTTTTTGTATTTTTTATTTATTGGAATGACTTTAAACATACTTGATGTAGAGCATTGACTTAGAGGATAAAAATGCGCTTTGAATTTAATACTCAAGCATGATTTCCTCATGTACATATTATTCCTGGCAGTTTTAGAGAACATTAAGTAACTATGCTATCGCAGTATCGGTCTGCGGAATTAAAATATATGTAAATGGTTTGTAGCAAAATAGGAATTAATATGCACTACCTTTATCAAAATTTAATGAGGTGGGTGTCATCTTTAGGTATTCAACGGATATTTTACTTTCTAAAAGGTATCATTTTTGTCATAGAAATGTATAAAGTTCTATGACAATACAAAGAAAGTAAGTCTTTGATAAGATATGTGAGTCACCGTTAGCTTCATGCCGTTTATCGACCATGTTCCTTTCTCTATTTAATCCAAAGTAGCATCACGTGACGTACATAAATCTCCATATTTCGGAAAATTATTGCATACATTTTTCCTACAAAAGTTGAAGTCCTACGGGCATTCCACCTATATAATCCTAGTTGTGGAAACTTTGCAACAACTTTTGCTGTAATTGATATCAAAAATAAATCGTTCGAACCCGTAGGGCACGTGCAAATCTGTAGTAGAGATCGGTAGTGATCGGTTGATTTTTTTATATATAAAAAGATCATACATTTCGGGTGCACGGGTGTTAAGGATATCCCGGTTATATACTTGTTGTTAATGATATAAAATGATACAAATTACTTTTCCACTTCTTGCTTGAGGAAAGCCTAAATATGAGCCGTGTCACGACAAAACCAACATAATGGGTTTGTGACCAGCATGGATCCAGACCAGCCTGTGCATTTACGCAGTCTGATCAGGATCCATGCTGTTCGCTATCAGTTTCTCTACTTGTAATAGAGTTGGTAAGCGAAAGCATGGATCCTGATCAGACTGTGCGGAGGCGCAGGCTGGTCTGGATCAATGCTGGTCGCAAACGCACTGTGTTGGTTTTGTCATGGCGCGGCTCATATATATTGTCTCCTTAAGAAAGTCGGTTGCTTTAAACATGTAACTGAGAAATAAGTGTAAGTTTTTAACAATTTTTGCTTGGCGGCTTAAGACATGTTACTGCTAAATACAGGGGACCGCTGATACAGGTTTTTTCTGAAGATAGCTTATCACCTGCTTATCCTTTGTAGACTGTACACCAAAACAGTTTCAAATAAAAGATTTGGGGTTATTTACCGATAATTTATTTTTTAGAAGTGCAAACTGTTGGCTGCTGTATGTTTCATTATACACTTGTATGCAACTTTTATAACTTTGGAAGAATTAAGTGATTGCTTACAATATCCTTCATCATATAAGTTAAGATTATGTTGTTTTTTTCAGGAACGATAAACTCATGAAAGTTAAATCTAACAAGGAGAGATAACTTCTTTTTACATTTAAGGAAAATTACCCTTATTACAGACTGTACTTAGCACAAAAGGCTAATGAATACGCTAAGATTATCTTGTTTTTTTTGTGTTAATAGTAATAATCTCGCTCTCTACGCAAAGTTATGGTAACGTTTCAGTGCCTATTTTAGAATTGTTCTCTCTGGAGGATTATGATATATTCATGTATATAATGGTGATTTTTAAAATAATGTTATTGATAATATATTAGCTTTTTTTTGTATAAATACCGCTGAATGACTGGTATGCACATACATGAACAACGAATGTAGCTTTAAAACTAAAAACGAAAAAAGTTAAAAATTATTCATTCATTTTTTTGACAAGGATTATCCGACAGTGAGTTCGAGCTACGACGGAAGGGGTTCGACATATCCGAATTGGAGTGAACGATGTTTAACTGTAGATAGGTTTAACATTAAAACATAAAAGAGACACACAATTACTTTATGTACATATTGAAAACTTTATGAAAAAAGAATCTGCCGTGCTTGTTAAATGATTCAGTCTCGATGTATTTATTTTTCAGGAGATGATACACGTGTCTTTCCAAGACGAAACGGAAATGTCGATGAACCTATCCGTTGAAAGTATTGATGATAATAACAATGCAACAGGTCTCAACATGGATGATCCACTAACAAGTACACCAAAGTCAAACCGCCGTCCAATGTCCGTTGAAGAGAGTTTTATGCCCGTAGAAGAAACTCTAATGTCAGCTGGAGAAAGTCAGATGCCAGCTGAAGATGATCTTATATTGACTGATGAAGGTCTAGTGACAGCTGAAGAAAGTATAATGTCAGCTCAAGAAAGTATAATGTCGTCTGAAGAAGGTCTGGTGACAGTAGAAGGTCTGTTGTCTACTAGTGAGTGTCTTATGTCAGCCGAGGAAGGTGTAATGCCTGTTGTTGAAAATGTAATGCCTCACGGGTCAAGGAATGTAGAGGAATGTTTAATGCCTGTCGCCATGGTTACCGAAGACACATCCTATTCTACTAATTTGTTGAAGTGTAAGATTTGCAACTTCCAGACCAAATTTAAGGGAAATTTGTCGCGGCATGTTACAAGGAAACATGCTCTTAAAAGATTCAGTTGTGACATTTGTAACAAGTCGTTTGGATACAATTATATCCTCTCTGAACACCGAAGATCATCTCACCAGGAGGAACGTTTTCTCTGTGAATATTGTTCTAAACCGTTCTTAACACGCAGCGGACTAATATGTCATAAAAAGTTACACCATGCCCAATCACCTTACAATTGCCCGATATGCGATAAACAGATTTTAAAGAAAGCACATTTTGATGGACATATGAATAGCCACAAGAATGAAGCGAAATATGAATGTACAACTTGCAAGAAGCGTTTTTTCTACAAAACAAGTTTAGATAAACATATGAAATCTTGCTCGGGCATTTCAGACAGATATACATGTTTGATTTGTTCAAAGGTGTTCAGGTGTCCATCATCCTTAAAGGACCATACTCAGGCTGTCCATGAAAAGATTGATTTTCAGTGTCCATGTGGGAAGACATACAAGTGGCGTACAGCCTTAGCAAGGCACCAAAAGAAATGTGCAAAACGTTAAATTGTTATTTTGCTCCTTCTCCGCGTTATAATTCTAAGTTTCTTCACAGTTATTTTTATCGTTTTTATGTTTACCATGTTTACCAATGGGGGCGACGAGGTATCACTATGGGACAGTTGCATAGTTCTTAAGTAAAAATATGCTACCATGAAAAAATAAACACTAACACTGAAACATTTTCTTTGAAGATTTCATTCTGCGTTGACATTTCACGGGTCATTCAGTAAGACGTGTATTAAAGTAAAAGATTAAACAATAAATGTAAAATCCTTACATTGAACATGTCGAATTTGAGAAAATTATAATTCTTATTAATGTTTGTTTTTCATATTGATCCTGTTGTAAATTGTGTGATATTTTCGTTTGTATTGTTGCAATCAGTAATTAGGGCTCTATACATGATATTATGTATTTATTATACTAATCAATAATTCTTGTATTTTATTGTGATCTGTCAAGAAGTGCAGTTATCACAATTATTTGTATTGATAATTAGGATTTGTTTTAGTTTTAACTGAATCATAAACTAAAATCATGTTATGCTTAATTCATTTGGCGATAGAGATTGGTTTACGTTTGCTAAGGTTAGATAAAAATCTTTGTACATTTACAAATTATTGTAATTAATATAAGCGAGCATCTTGATAATACCTGAAATATTTGCGAATGTCAACATTCTGAATAAAACTGTTCTTTTATTTTCAGTTTGTTTTTCAATTAAACTTTTGTTTACACGCATGGAGGAATTTTAATGAAAATCAGTAGAAATGTTTATCACTATGAGAATATGTATCATGTGCATGAACTAGGTTTCGAGGTTAAAGTCACACTGAGAGGTTATTGAAATAACTGTTTATGCACAGTTTTGGTTGGTGTATTTACTCTTTTTATTTTTTGTATAGGGCTTTCTGTAGTATTTTTGGTAAGTACGTGTAGCATCCCACTTTCTTCCTGATAGGATATTCTGGATTCGTCCTGTCCAATGTCTTCTCCAGATATACTGAATGTTCGAGTTTTAATTTTGCCACAAGGCCTCATTGTTGCAAACGCAACTTTTCTTTTAGGGTGCATATGATATGACGAACTGTTTCGAACGGTGTCAGGAACCGTTTGTGGCAGTATTTGCATCTGACAGCCGAATCCTGAAAAAATGACAGTTATCTAAAAATTTACGTGACAAAATTACTTACACACCAAGCTATATACCGCATATTAACTTAACGTTGTCATCATATTAACGATACTGTATGTATGTCTATTATGCGAAGAAATATTGCCTTCACAAGAAAAATGTAGTTGCTGTAAATTCAGCGTTAACATTTCAAAGGAAATTTATGACATAAAACTAAAGTTGACGAACAGGATACAAAGAAACATTTAGTGCATTCGTTCTGTTTCATAATGTCAATATGAATTCGCAAAAATATCTAAAACACGCTCAAAACTAACATTATATAACCAATTTTTGTGTTAAGGCTGAGCGTATTACGTTTTCTGATGATTTACACACTTATTGACAAATAAAATACGCTTAAACGTGTCGTAATTAAGCCAAGAAACACACTGGCAGTAACAAAAGTTATCATAAGAACTCCGGAACATATTTTGAGTTATCACAAGAACTCCGTGACATTTGAAAAATCGGGTATAAATTCATTAACCTGGGCTATATGTTTGCAAATCTCCATTACATTTAGGTAATTAGGTAAAACAATAAAGAAGGTCACAAATGAAAATGTTAATATGTACAAATGAGCAAGTTATTTGGAAATTTTACTCAAAACTACCAGATTGTTTTAAAAAAGGCGATGAAAAATGGTCTAAAAGGGTTTTCTGAAACATAATACAATATGTAGGGCTAGCTTAAATATCAAGGTTTAATTTAGCACCTCAAACTCCCCATTTAAAGGCAAAACTTACCATTTTTCATGTGTTTCCTCCAAGTCTATTGAAAGGTTTTCCATAGAAATCCGTAACGTTTTCCAGGAACTCCGAGACAGTTATCATAAGAACTCCAAACAAGTTATCATAAGAACTCCATCTTTCGTGTAACACTTCCTCCCCCGTGAATGTGACATGTTAGAAACTTGACAAGGTGTAGACATCTTGTAGAGCGAAAGGGCGGAACTATCGGTGATTTAGAGAAATACCTTGATTTTGGTTGAAAAAAAAAGAACCTACATTTCGGCTGCATCAGCCATTTTGTTTGTTTGGGTATCGAACGGCGTGATACTCCCCCTTGTTAAAAAGTTTAATAATACGTACTGACAAAATAATTGGTCGCCTGCCTTCGGCTAGCTTGACCAAATATTTTTGTTAATACGTATTATTAAACACTCACCTATACATATATATTTATGTCCAATGATTATGCTGGGTGTTTGGACACCAGTTCCTGCACTTTTCAGCCACTGAATAAGTCACATTCCCAGCCACCTATTCAGCCATATGATTTGCTTAAATTTTTGATAATTATTTTCACAATATACATATTTTTTACCCTTCCAGATTTTCTCCCCCTTTTTGATTAGATATTTATCCGCCGAAAGAAATTGATATTACCGGGCCAGACGGGTAATATACACACTAAATTTCCCCGTTGGGTACCCCAAGTTGTAAACAAAATGCGCTGTGGCGATGCGCGCACGGTTCGATAATACGCGGTGTAAATTCCGTTATACAAGCATTTTTAATTGTCAAATAAATAGTATTTATCAGTAATGTTAAATATTCTCATCAGTATTGAAAACAAATATGGCCTCGTCAAAGCTTCATAAACGTTACAATAAATAGTCTTCAACAGACTACTCATTTTCTCTTGTTTACATTCCTAAGGTTCCAAAGCAAATACGTCATGTATTTATGTGACGTCATGTTGTGGTGAAGGGGTACCCAAAAGGGAATCTTATTTAGACGTTTCATTTGAAACAACAATAATTTATTTTAACATCGTCTTACTCGGCAGGGAAAGGGTAATAAAATCATTATTTTGGTTTTGGAGTGATATATGTGAATATATAATAGATAAAATATCAATAGATATAAAATCTTAGCAGGTAATATATCCACATATATCACTCCAGAACCAAAATAACATATATTAATATATACATACATCTTTTCTTTTTATCTTAAAAAGTCTTTTTAGAATGATTATAATATATCTTCATAAAATTCCCTTGTATAACTACAATATATCAGAATAATATATCACTACGGATGAACACTCATTTCGACTGTGAAATACTATAATACATTTATACAAATACAAAGTGTGGGGTGGCACAACTCGTCGGACTTGTATCTAAGGATCTCTGTTTGCGTTGCTTCAAACAAACCGTTATGTCCACGGTAAAATGTGGAAGGATGTGGCCCTACAAAGAGCTGCTGCTCCCGGAAGAGGTGCCGTTCCTCCTATTGTCTACTGCGTTCAAGAAGCGAAGAACTGGGTCCCAGAGAAGATAAACGACGAAATACGGCATGAGAAGACCTCCGTTGCGGCTCTAGGTCAGCGACGTTGCAGGCGAACAAAGTCCTCCGTTGCAGGCTCTACGACCAGCGACGTAACAGGCCGATAGTCTGGGACATATGGCAAAGCCGGCGCCCAGTATAAATAAAACTAACGACACACACATACACTTGACGTCATATATCTATGCAAACACGAGCATTCACAAACAACAATAATTTTATTTAAAATGTACGTTACCTTCATTAACGCACAGAAAGTCGCTGTTACCACGTGGCAAACATAATTCATCTGCCTTACAATCATGATTTGAACATCCACGTGCCAAAGTCTGAAGAAAATATAAAGTAAAAACAACAACAAGAAGAAGTATCTTTAAAAAAGTTGCATACGGTCGAAGTAAAACTGGTTAATTTAAGTTTTCTCGTTATTTTGTTCACGGTATATAAATAATTCAGTAAGTTCTTGTGTAAAATAAACTCAGCAAGTTCTTCTGCTGTTCACTACAAAATGTATTGAGATCTAAACACTGTGTAACATGTTTTGTGGGAGGATGTTTGGTTGAACAGAACTTAAATATTTGATCAATTTACTATCCAGTACATTTTACAAAGGTATTTAAAATTTATAACATTATATTTTAAAATGGCAAGAACTATCGTTTAAATTCTATTTTAGAATGACCAACCAGATTTTGTAATTTTAAAATGACCAATGAAATATTTTTTGTATTCCTTTCTTTCCTGTACATTTTAAAGGAAGTCCAACTGACTTCAGACGGCCTTCGACTGAAAGAATAAACACAATGAATAGATCATCTATTATATTAGACTGAAATAAAAACAACGACTGAACTAGACAGTGGATATTGAAATGTTAGCTATGGTATCTGTTCACAATTTTTGTGTCCATGGATCCGGTTTTTATCAATTAATCCCTTCGATTTACAGCAAAAAAATAAATTCGGAAGCAAGAATTCCTTCCTATTCTATTATGTAAAGATATATATTGGTTTACTCTTCGGGGATTCGCAGCATGTCATATAATGAATGAGAACGGGAACACATTTCATGCGTAAAAGCAGTAGACAAAGCAAAAAATAAACTTAAATTTGGTAATTTATTTCTTATTTTTGTATCTTCTTCAGGAAATAACTAATTATTCTGTAGTACACAACGGTTTATGTATGTACATCATTTTGAAATTGTCTTTTCCGTAGATTATTTCAGGTAAATTAATAGCTCCTTTCTTTTTTAATGTTCAATTATATTTGTTAACGCGTTTAACAAAAAAATCCTGAAGTCTTAGTATTTTTGAAATTCATCCCAAATTTTTCATTCCAGTGTGTTTTCTACTTTCAGTATTTATCTGGGACTTAAAATATAGCACCTAAAGTCCCTGGTATCATAAGAAACCATTTTTCTTAATTTGACATGAAAAAAAATGCGTGTAATATTACTATATTAGTCCCTTTTGCTACTATTTTTATATATACTGTTTGTATATTTGTTACAATTACATTAATAAAGACTTTGTTCATTTCATTTTGACTACAGTAACTGTTTTGTATGTTTAAAAGAAAATACATTTAATATTCTTTTCTCTAGCAAGTCTACCAAAGTTCACGATGAACAATGTCTTTCGTCCGCCCATTCATCTATGATATAAATGTACAATTTTGGTAAAATCCAATTAACCATTGAAAGGTTTATAAGAATATCTGTTCATCATCACA